CCTCCTCCTCCTCCTCCTCCTCCTCCTCCTCCTCCTCCTCCTCCTCCTCCTCCTCCTCCTCCTCCTCCTCCTCCTCCCCCTCCTGGGCAGCGAAGGGCCTTCCAGGAGATCCGAGGCACAACAAAAATGTACAGCGGGAGACTTTGTGTTTCGCATCTGTCGGCTTCTGGGTGCCCTCGCCGGGCCCCCGGGCCGCCAGAAACGGCACCAGAGACCTCCGGTGAAGGGGGCCCCCCGAAGGGGGCCCAAATGGCTGGGGTCGGGGTCGCGCCGCATCGCCCATGTTCCTCCTCCTCCTCCTCCTCCTCCCTCCTACCTCCTAATCATTCTCCCTCCTCCCTCCTCCCTCCTCCCTAGCCTTCCCTCCTCCCTCCTCCCTCCTCACCCTCCTCTCCTCCTCCTCTCCTCCTCCTCCTCCTCCTCCTCCTCCTCCTCCTCCTCCTCCTCCTCCTCCTCCTCCTCATCATGCATCGGCGATGCGGGAGACTGCGGATGCGGATGCGTTCTGTGCACACGAGGGCAGCGAGCGGCCCTCCCGGAGCCCACTGCCGAACATGCAGGGCGGGAGCCTCGCTGTGCGCCCCCCGTCGGCCTCCGGAGGCCCTCGCGGGGCCATGGGGGCCGACGAGAGCGGCAAGCGTGACCCTCGGTGACATGGCCTCCCGGGTGGGGTCAAAACAGATGGGGTCGGAGGATCGCGCCGCATCGCCGACGCATCGTCGGCGTTGGCTATGTATGGGGACCGTCGGCGTGGCGAACATCGGGCTCCACATCGAGCCGCGTTGCCGATGCAGCGGCGAGGCGGCGCGATCCTCCGACCCCATCTACTCGGACCCTGCTGGAGAGGCGTAGAGCCCCGGAGCGGCCATGGGCAAGAGTGCCCTCTGTCACGAGCGGCGAACGTACATCCGTATCCACGCCCTCGCGGTATGGATTCTGGGCCGCGATCCCGCGGATACGCGATCGCACGGGTGCGTCCCGCGCGGGCCATCTGCGACAAAGCGCCCCGTATCCGCGGGGTCGCGGCCCAGGGGCCCGGCCCGCGAGGCCGCAGATACGGAAATGTTTTTCGCCCACGAGGGCAAGGAGTGACCAGTCCAAGGATCCAACGTATCGCAAATTTTCAAGGCGGGAGGTTTTTGCCTGTTTCGGCCTCTGGAGGTCCTCGCCGAGCCCCGGGACGGTCAAAAACGACCCGGGATGAAACACTAACCCAGGGGGAAGGATCGGAACTTCCAGAGACCTCGCATTGAAAAAAAACATGAAATCTGATCTCTGAGGAGGGGCCCTGGGCAACTGTGACCCCTGAGATCCTGGCGTCACAAGTTTTCGAGCTAGGCGACTTCGCCTGGTTTCAGGCCCCAGGACCCTCACAGATCGATCTGGCCCGATGGCGCAGAAAGATTGGGTCCAGGGCGCCGGTCGTGACTTCCTACTATGCCTCAACTTTGCCGCGCGGTCGGATCTCCAACTGCCTGTGGTGAGGGCTTGCCGATCTTTGCGTGCCATGCGGCAGTGATCGCGGCATGCGTGCCTGGGCTTGCCCAGAGGAGGAGGAGGAGGAGGAGGAGGAGGAGGAGGAGGAGGAGGAGGAGGAGGAGGAGGAGGAGGAGGAGGAGGAGGAGGAGGAGGGAGGAGGAGGGAGGAGGAGGCGAGGAGGGAGGAGGGAGGAGTGAGGATGGGAGGAGGGAGGAGGGAGGAGGGAGGGAGGGAGGAAGGGAGGGAGGAGGGAGAGGAGGGGAGGAGGAGGAGGAGGAGGAAGAGGAAGGAGGGAGAAGGAGGAGGGAGGAGGCCCCCCTTTGCCGCCCCCCGCGAGCCGCGCTCGCGAGGGGTCGCTCCCGCGAAGGAGGCCGCCCCGACGCGTACGGCCGAGCGGAGGCCCGGGCGAGCGCCCCGGCGCCGTTCTGGTACGGAACTCGATGCAAGACGCGGCTTCGGGGATAGGGAGGGAGGGAGGGAGGGAGGGAAGGAAGGAGCGAGGAGGAGGAGGAGGAGGAAGAGAGGAGGAGGAGGAGGAGGAGGAGGAGGAGGAGGAGGAGGAGGAGGAGGAGGAGGAGGAACGGGGAGGAGGAGGGCGGAGGAGGAGGAGGAGGAGGAGAAGGAGGAGGAGGAGAAAGAGGAGAAGAAGAAAGGAGGAGGAGGTGGAGGAGGAGGAGGAGGAGGAGGAGGAGGAGGAGGAGGAGGAGGAGGAGGAGCGGGAAGGAGGGTGGAGGCCAGCGCAGGCTGCTGTGAAAGCGCTCGGGCCGTTCCTTTGCCCCCCGATGCCCCCACGGGGGGCCTCCAGTGGGCGGGGACCTCCAGGACCCTCGCGGAGGGACCTCTGAGGACCGCGCGACAGAGAAGAGCATTTGGAGAGGGGGGCGGGGGGGAGAGAGGGCCACAGCAGCAACAGCTGGAGTAGGGTGGAGCAGAGGTGGGGACCGAGGGAGCAGGATAATCATGACAAGTCAAATGCCGAGGATGAGTAGGAAAGTGGATGTCGAGGAGGAGGAAGAGGAGGAGGAGCAGGAGGAGGAGGAGGAAGAGGAGGAGGAGGAGGAGGAGGAAGAGGAGGAGAAGGTACGGGCAGTGTTCTGATGCCGACGAAGACGCCAACAGCGGCGGTGACGCCGTGGATATGAAAGAGCACATGTGCGGCGACCTCCTCTTCATCCGAGGCCATTTTGTAGGGCGAGCTGGGCGTTTCGCCTGAGACTTTCTCACCACTTATGACTCTGAAGCTCAAAAAAGTGGCACCTGTTCAACATATGGAGGGCGAGTCGCTTTCAATATGTGGCTCTCGCCTACCGTGCCCCCCACCGCGACCCCCGCCACGCCCCCACCACGCCCCCGCCGCGCCTGACACTGCTAGCCCCGTGGCTTCCTGGGCTTGGGTTCTCGGGAGCCACCAACCCCGCCAAAACTTCGCCGGCGCCCCTCACCACGCCCCCACCACGCCCCCCACCACGCCCCCCACCACGCCCCCCACCGCGCCCCCCACCACGCCCCCCACCGCGCCCCCACCCACGCCCCCGCCGCGCCCGACACCGCCAGCGCCCCCGCTTCCTGGGCCTAGGTTCAGGGGCCACCCGCCCTGCAAAAAACCTCGCCGGCACCCCCACACCCCCCACCACGCCCCCCGCCGCGCCCCCATCACGCCCCCCACCACGCCCCGACCGCGCCCTCACCACGCCCCCCGCGCGCATGACACCGCCGCCAGCCCCCCTGATTTCCCGGGCCCAGGTTCTCAGGAGCCACCCACCCTGCAAAAAACATCGCCGGCATCCCCGCCACGCCCCCCACCGCGCCCCCCCCCCCAACCATGCCGCCACCACGCCCCCACCGCGCCCCCCTACACGCCCCCCACCACGCTCCCCACCACGCCCCCGCCGCGTTGACACCGCCAGCCCCCTGGGCCTAGGTTCTGACCCACCCCTGCAGAAAACTTCGCCGGCACATCCCACCACGCCCCCACCGCGCCCCCCACCACGCCCCCCACCACGCCCCACCACGCCCCCACCACGCCCCCGACCACGCTCCCACCACGCCCCCACCGCGCCTGACACCCGCCAGCGCCCTGGCTTCCGGGCCCAGGTTCTCAGGGGCCACCCACCCAAAAACATCGCCGGCCCCCCCCTATCGCGCTCACCCACACGCCCCGCACGCCCCCACACCACGCCCCCCACCACGCACCCCACCACGCCCCCACCACGCCCTCGCCGCGCCGCGGCCTTCTCGGCTACGCTTCGAGAGCGTCCGGGACCCCCCTAAGGAGAAGATGCAGGGCATCAGCATAAACCTTTTCGCGCTCCGCGCGGAGCGCCAAAAGCCTATGTTTATGGCGTGCTTTTTTGCTCGAGCTCTGGGGCGGAGTTATCCTCGTCCTGGCCCCGTCCGAACCACTCTGCCCACCTCTTTGCTGCCCCCGCTCTTCCCGCACCTCCCAGTGGGGTTCCGCCGCTGCCGGCCGGCCCGCCGGCACAGCGGCCCGGCGACGGGGGGGGGGCAGGCGAAACGGTGCCCAGCGCGGCGCCTCGGGCGAAGCAGTCTGCCGGCGAAGACGTTTGGTGCCGACACCACTCGGCCACCCCTAGGCCGTCGTCGTCGTCGTCGTCGTCGTCGTCGTCGTCGTCGCCGTCGTCGTCGTCGTCGTCGCCGTCGTCAACGCCGCCGCCGCCGCCGCCGCCGCCGCCGTCGTCGTCGTCGTCGTCGTCGTCGTCGTCGTCGTCGTCGTCGTCGCTGCCGCCGCTGTCGTGGCCCCCGCCCCACTCGGCGGGGTCGAGCTGGGCGTCGCCGCAGGAGGCCACCGCGAACCAGCCAGCCTCGGCCGCGACCGGGGAGGCGCGGGCGGGCGGCGGCGGCGGCGAGGGGGGGAGGGCTATTGCAGCAGGAGTGGAGAGGCAAGATGGAGAAGGAAGAGGAGGAGGAGGGGTGAGGGTGAAGCGAGGGGAGAGGAAGAAGGGAGAGAGGGAGGGAGGAAGGGAGGAGGTGGAGGAGGAGGTGGGGGGAGGAGGAAAAAAGCAAAAGGAGAGGAGAGGGAGGAGGAGGGCGAGAATGAGCAAGAGCAGGGGGCGAGGAGAAGGAGGAGGAGGAGAAGGACAGATCGAGAAGGAGGAGGAGGAGGAGGAGGAGGAGGAGGAGGAGGAGAAGGACGAGAGAGGGGATGAGGATACATGCTTCTGGAGGTTGTTGGTCCTTGCTGGGTTTCCGGAGGCCCCTGGGGAGGAAGCGGATACTATACAGGGAGGAAGGAGCGAATGGGGTTGGCGGGGGGGGCGTGGAAGGAGGGGGCGAAGGTGGATGATGATGATGATGATGATGATGATGATGATGATGATGATGATGATGATGATGATGATGAGGAGGAGGAGGAGGAAGAGGAGGAGGAAGAGGAGGAGGAGGAGGAGGAGGAGGAGGAGGAGGACCTATCGGAATTTGAAGCAGAAGCGGGGGAGGGACATGGGGTAGAAGATTCCTCGTCTCTGCGACAGTCCCCGAAGGCCTCCCAAAGTCTCCAATGGTCCCCAGACGCGTTCAGGAGCATCGATGCCCCCCTTCCTCACCTATCGACTCCCCGTTGACCTCGTCAACATACAGCTCCTCTTCTTTCTGCTCCTCCTTCTCCTCCTCGCCTTCCTTCTGCTGAGACATCCTCACCACGTGCGCCCCTGAAGCTTGAAACTTGCAAGAGCTTCGCGGATGGTGGGCGGGTCGCTTTCCAAATGTGGCCCTCGCGTTAGCATCGCGCACATTCGACTCACAAAATTACAAGAGCCTCATTGATTGAGGGCGGGTCGCTTTCAAAATGTAGCTCTCGCTGTAGCGCCGCGCACATTCTTTTTCAACGATGCAATAGGGGGCGGTTGGCTTTCAAAATGTAGCTCCCTCCTTTGCGCCGCACGCAGTTGATTCCGAATAACTGCGACACTGTTACGGATGGAGGGCGGCCTCTTTGTTACATGTGGCTCACGCCTTTGGGCCTCGTACATTAGTCCTAAGAGTTTGCAAGAGCTGTGCGGATGGATGGCGGCTCCTTTTCAACCTGTGGCTCTCGTGCTAGCGCTGCACGTACTCGTCTTGAGAATTTGCAGCAGTTCCCCGGATTTTCATGGTCAGCGTCCAGGAACGGTTGTTTTCGCACGATGTCGGAATGTCAGGGCGCCACAGTCACGTTGATTCGCGGTGCTGAAAGCCCACGAAAGGTTTTCGGACACGATTCAGGACTGTCAAGACGCAACAGTTTGTTTTCTTCCCCCGCGGCGTTGAAGTCGCAGGATTGGTGCTCTGGCATACTGCACATGTTCTAACGGTTGGCTTCGAACTGGGCACTTTCTTCACTTAGCGACAACCCTTGTAGGCGCCTGTGAAGAGGGAGTTTGGAGGGAGGGATCAGTGCAACATCGTGGGTCAGTCTTGGGTTTGCACTCGTCCTCCTCCTCCTCCTCCTCCTCCTCCTCCTCCTTCGCTTCTTACTCCACCTCCTCCCGCTCCTCCCCCGTCCTCCTTCTCCTCCACCTCCTCCTCCCCCCGTCCTACTCCTGCCCCCTTTTTCCTCCCCCTCCTTCCTTCTGCTCCCCCTTCCATCCCTTCCCGTCATAAACAAGTCTTCCTTGTCGCACCCCCAAACGTGTCGATCGGGCTGGCCGGGCGTTTCGCTTGAGATGTCCTTGCGATGTCTGGTCATGAAGCTTGACGTATGCAGCAATTTCGAACATGGAGGGCGGATAGTTTTCAACATGTGCCTTTCGACACAACACCACGCACATTCGTCTCACAAGTTAGCAACAGCTTCACGGACGGAGGCAGAGTGGTGTTTCAAATGTACTTATTGTCTAAGCGCCGCGCGAATTCGTCATGAAAGATGGCAGCAGTAACAGGATGGACGGCGGGTAACTTTCAACATGTGGCTCTTGCCTGAACGCCGTGCACATTCGTTTTCAAATTTGTAACAACTTCAAGGACGGATGGAAGCTATGTTCTCACAAGTGGCTCTCGCATTAGCGCCGCGCACATGCGTCTTCAAAACTTTCAGCAGTCTTCAGGAGTCGCAGGGTTGCTACTCCGCTGTCCCGCAAGAAATTCACTGGCACGACCTAGGAGTGCAAGGTCGCAACAGTCACGTTGATTCACGGCGTTGGAGTCCCAGGAATGATGATTTGGCACAGGAACGGTGATTTGGCACAATTGAAGATTCTCAGACGGCTCAGACGGTTGTCTTCCAATGGGGCAGCTCCCGCATTGTAAACCATGGGCTGCTTGGCCCAATGAAGAAGGAACTTGAAGGGAGGGCTGGCTGTGGCTAGGTTGATGCGTCTTGTGTTTGCACGGGTCCTCCTCCTCTCCCTCCTCCTCCTCCTCCTCCTCCTCCTCCTCCTCCTCTCCTCCCCCTTTCTTTTCCTCATAAAGGGCTTCTCCCCGTCGCACCCCAAGGCGTGCCCATAGGCAGGGCTTGGTGT